TAAAAATCTATCATACTATCTTAAAATTGATGTTTAGGGGGAGAGTGCAAATGAACATCAATTTTGAGATGCACTTATTGACATCTGCACGATAACTCCATCTATTCCCCTTCCTACTCTTCTTACACGACTTTCCTACTCTCTTTGAAGATATCCAAAGAAATCCTTCAAGAAGTCTAATAGGAAAGAAAAAATTATATCCGTGGATAAGGGGAGATACCAAAAATCTGTAGGAAAACTCATCCATCTTTCACATTCAATGTCAGATATTGCATACTCTATCAATATTGTGAACCAACACATGAATTGTCCTAAAGAAAAGCATTTAGAGATGTTTTACATAATTTTGAGGTTTCTCAGGAAGACATCTGTTAATGAATTAATTTTTTGTGAAAATCAGAAATAGAGAAGTAGAAGTATATATTGATGCTAGTTGGGCGGAAGAATTCACTTACATAAAGTCCACCACATGTTATTGCTCATATTTATAGGAAAATTTAGCTACATTGAGAAGTAAAAAGCAAGTTGATTTGATAAACAGTGCAAAATCAGTGTATAGGGAACTTGTCTTAGGGATCTGTGAAGGAATTTGGATTTTGAAATTGTTAAGGGAAATAAGATGTTCTTTCAAAAGGCCTATACGAATGTTTTGTAACAGTCAAGAAGCTATCAGTATTGTAAAGAATTTTGTGCATTTTGACAGGACCAAGCATATTAAAGTACTAAATCTCTAAAAAGGTCAATGATGATGTTATACAACTAAGCTACATCCCAATACACCAACAAGTTGTTGATGTCTTTACCAAAATTTGGTTTTTTCAACATTATCTTAGAATTCAGGATCAAACTCCCTCTCTACAACATCTACGACCCATCTTGGTGGGAAGTGTGGAAATCTGAGAAGATTTGTCCCTTTCAATATTTACCTCTCATGTGGGTTGGCCACTACCTCCAAATCTTGGAGGATTTGATTGGGATATCTTAGGAAACCCATGATTGGTTTATTCTTTTCCTATTTTATGTTTTAAATTTTTTATTCAAAGTTATTTCTTTTTGTAATTTAGGTGAGATATGTTTAGTAAGTTTGTCAATAAGGAGAGATTGGTTCCCCTAGATATATGTACCCTATTTGTGAATAATGAATCAATGAATTATTCTTCCTCAAACCTATTTTTCTAGACTATTTAACCTTTGCAAATGGCTTGATGAATGCTTTTTGATAAGTTACAAATGCTTTCTTTACCAAACTCAAAGAGGTCATGTTATATTATAGCGGGCTGGATTAGATTGTCTTCTAGAAGGAACTGTCGGTCCAAAATTTTAGGAGAAGGATGGCTTAGGACTGCATTGATATCTTGACCCTTTAACTTTTCAATAATGAATTAAAATTTCAGATAAGATTGATGACAAAATTAGTTTCCCTTCTTATTTCTGTCAGCAGGTCTCTTATGGAAATAAAAATTGTTATTGAGAAGAATGCATTCTTCATAGCGATAACTAAAGATTGATGATATAAATATAACCTTTTTCTTTTGCAATGTAATAGCTAACTACTTCAAATCTATCTAATAGGTGTTGGTGGCAGAACCTCAAAATTTATCACTCTTTTTACCCATGAATGCCTATCGTACTCAAAATATCTAATGTACCTACACAATATATCGAGCATATAAGACATATTCACACATAGGACTTAACCTTCCCCATGCCGAGTCTTGAGGCCATTCCAATGAACTAAACTATAATTGGCAATGACTGTCTTCTTGGTTACTCGGTCTTATTCAATATATGTTGTTGGCTGCAAGATATCTCGAACCCAATAACTTGCCTGGTTGATAGTATCCATTAGTACGTTTTAATCACTATATTTCAATTTGATAGCTAGCCATTTTATAAAAGTTTAGTAAATGGAAGTATAGGGCTAATAACTTGAATGAGCGAGTAAGAAGTCACCATATATGCTATGATTTGTTAGAAATTTCTCTCGTTGCTCAACCCATTATCAATTTCAATAATTCTCTGAGGATCCTGTCTATATATAATAGCAAAAGTTATTTCTTAATAAGCTCATTGTATGGCATTCCTTTTAAGTCTTCTCTAGTTAAACATCTTCTACAAAGGTGTAGAAATATGTATTTGTTTAAAATAAAATAGACTACGTTGAAATGCATGAAATTGAAGATTGATCTACAAGAACATGCATTTGCATGTCAAAGTTCAACTCAGACTTATGGTTGATATCCAAGATTATTTTAAAAAGAGTCTACAAAATCAAATTCTTAGCTTGGCGTCCAGAAGAATTTTTGAATTTTCGTAGGCTTAACAAATTTTTAACATAGTTCGTTTCAGGCGTACACTATACTTCTTATTGTGAGGGAAGAAGCATTTGCTGGCCTATTTTATACCATGTTTACCACCATACTTGCCACTCTCCTCCTACCAATGCTCCACATGGAGATGTGAGCACCATTTGGGTTTTATTTAGAAGAAAAATAAATTACGACTTCAACCCTTCACCCTTCACTCATTTGCTCTGCTATTTTCATGATCATTCTCATTATCCTACACCATCATGCAGCCTTGTTTGCTTTCTCCCTGCATGCTTGTCCATTATTCTATAGTAACATGCAGTCTCACTCGCCTTTATGCAATAGTTGCATTCTCTCGTGCACATAGCCCTTTCTAGGATCTTCTTCTATTTGCATCTCTCTTTTTTCCTTCTCATTCTTTATGATTGCCTAATCCCTCTCCCCCACTTTCCCTCATTACTCTCACTGCAATTATTTCTTACCTTTTTATCCTCTCTTTCTTTCTCTTCCTCTTTTCGGGAGACTTTTCCCTCTCTCTAACCCTTCCAACCTCTCCACAAACCTTTCCCTCATCCCGTCACCTCACTCTCTTTTTTTATCTCCCCCTATAAAAAAGAAATTTTAAATAAAGAAAAATGACGAGGCAAAAAAATTAAAAAAAGATAAAAAAATGTTGTATGTTTCATTTTCTCATTACAAATTCCTTTGCCTTGCTATATCATTGTCGTCGACAATGCCTCACATACAAAAGTTTAATACAAAACAAACTTACCCAAACATTTTAAAACTTCTGTGCCATTATAATCCAATAGCGAATCACATTGAGTTTGCATATTTATGTAGCACCGACGCTTTTAAAATATTTCTTACCCATTTCAAACATGTATCGGACACCGCACTTGTACAACATATCTCGACACTTCTCTGACTATACAAAATATATGTCTGAATTTTTTTCGGGCCGCGAGGCACACCTCAGCAGTGCATAGGGATTTGAACTTAACACGATTTCGAAAAAATTGGACATGGAAATTAGAAAGTTATAAATATATGTATAACCTTAATAATACATCCTATTCGAAATTGCTTCATCTCTCGTCATGTTGAAGTTTCTTCTAACATTCGTCAAAATTGAGTATTGAAAGTGCATCCATTATTCGTCGAAGCCGAGTATTCGTAATTTCCTCTCTGTAATCATAGGCTTTTCTAAATTTTAGTAGATAAGTTGAATGAATTCTTTTAAAAGATATTATATCTTATTTTAAAATTTTATTTTCATTGCATGAATTTTATAAAGTTATATTTTATTTTTACATAATTTGTGTTGTAATATTTTTAATAAAGAAAAATGAAAAAAATATATATTCTATAGTAATAATTAATTAAATTTTAAAATATGTCCATGGCATGTTGTCATATTTTTTTCAATTGTACTGGTCTTGTGTGATGCTGGGTGAAAATCCTATTTGCAAAATTTAGGTGGGTGTATGAAGACAACATACATCTTTCTTAGCGTAGCAAGGCAGAAGATCCGATCATGATGTCATTGATATTAGCCGTATGTCTTTCTTGATGTGGTGAGCATTTCTAGATTTCCTATAGAAGCGAAATTGGGAGGCGATCAAAATGAAGATTTAATGAATTTAAAAAACATAATTTCAGGGACCCTTTAGAACATGACAAAATTGAAAATAAAAACAAAATTGAACCCTTATAATTGAGATGCATGAGGTCTATAATAATATTTTTTTTCTACACGTGTAGCTGCAAATGGATTGAAAAATTGAAAGTAAACATAGAGCTTAATATGAATGAGCTCACAGGAGACGTGTAGTGTACATGAAAGCCCCCTTGTAAGGATAAGTATAATCTTACTATTCTAACCAAACGCTCAAAACTCTCTTACACAACCTGGACCTCACATTTACTTAGCATTTACCTATTTGCCTTAATCAAAATTACTCTATCTTGACTGGGATGGATAATTAATCATTGTAGCTCGCACATATGGACAACCAAGAACTAGATGCCCTTGTAAAATGACAGAAATCTCTACTTAATGTTTTATCTAAAATTTAGTGGACCTTCAAAAATTTGACTCAAAATTAAACTCTCTTAGAAGAGCTAGGCATGAATTTTTGGAGCCCCCAATGGTCTCATTTATAACTTATTCCTAATTAATATTATAAAATTTCTAATCAGTTTATTTTGCAAAAGAAACTTGAAGAAATTAAGGACTTTTAGTCTAATCATTCCCTTAAAATAATTTAATTTAAATTTTAGAAATTTTAAAATTGAGGGAAAAAATGATTTATAATATTTAAATGGCTAATTTATGTTACGATTTAACCAAATTTGGATGAAAAAGTTAACGTAGGATATTTGATATTTTTCCAAATTTTAAAGGGTTATATTCTAGCTCAATTTCACGAGACTGAATGATGATAACCTAATAATAAGGAAACAGTAAATTTATGATATTGTTATAGACAAATTTAGTCTTTGTATAGAATAAATTGCATCACATAAAGTCATGAGTAATTTTCACTATAGAATGAAAACATTTGCATTTAGGTCTACTAATATAGTTTGGATCAGAAATACATCCCTGAATTGATTCAAACATTTGAGTTAATTTTTTCCCTCTTTATGTGTTATTAATATATCTATTGCGTTCTATTCTTCCTTTAGGTAATCAATCACCAACCGTATGACCAAAAAGTGGATATCTTCAGTTTTGCCATAGTGCTTTGGGAGTTGGCAACCTCAAAGGTACGTCATTGAAGTGTGCGCATCTAACTCACCAATCATTTGAAAAAACTTATCGATCTATGGAATTGACGTGCAGATCCCTTATAATAGCATGACACCATTGCAGGCTGCTTTAGGTGTAAGACAGGTTTGGTTCTTTCCAATTTACGAAAATCTTATTTGTTTCTTTTTTTTTTCATATTATAAAAGAACTGCCCATTCAAAATTACATGAGATGAACTGTACTATATGCTAGAACTAGAGCATTCTCTGGTTTAGCCATATTGCTTCACACCTTTGCACAGCCCAGCTCAGTCCAGTAGTTTGGCAGGCAAAAAGTTGACTGGATCAACCCAGGATGGATTTAGTACATTATTTTATAAGATGTACATGACAACGTGGGAGAACTGTCAAAACAGTACAGATTGAGTAAGTGGGAAGGAGAATATTAGATGAAGGGGGGTTCTTCATTTTCATTGCATGTCAAATACTCTTAAAGAGGAAATATTGAAAAGCGACAATGGCTCGTTGATTACCTAGTATGTGAAGATGACTCTCTGACTGAATAACTCAACATAAGTTATCTATTACAATTATATGTTGTATCAAAAATTCTATTTTTCCTGCCCGATGTATAGAGTATAGAGTACTTAATAACCATGCCTCTTCCAATGGATTAAATCTCAATAAAATCATACAAGAGGAAGCAACTAAATGTAGGATGTACCATTTGAACTTCATTTGGAATATGATTGACCGGATATCGATCCAGTTGACTATTTAATTTTTTTATGACCCAATCGGGCCAAGGACTAATTTTCGGTTCTTGTTTTATATTTCAGATTTACATATTTTATTTGCTGATGCAGGGCTTGCGTCCAGAGCTGCCAGAGAATGTACATCCAACCTTGTTGGAACTCATGCAAAGATGTTGGGAGACTTCCCCTGCTAAAAGACCATCTTTTTCTGAGATCATTGCTGAGCTCGAGGAACTTTTGCAACGGATTCAGGTATGTCTGTATTTTGACGAACGGAGATGTTTTCCTTAGTTAAATGGTGAGAGATATGCCCAGTGTTGGGATTAGCGTATGACTAATGTTAGTTTATGATTATTATTTTTCTTGAAGGCACCAAAAATGTAGAAAAGCTACTTTTAAAAATTCAATTCGAGCATTTTAAGAATGAAGATTGTCAAAAATCATGTTTTTCAAAGTCTCTCCAGAATCCTTGATCAATGAGAAATGCTGACAAAAGCGAAAAAATTTGAGCATTAATCCTCTCATTGATTGATCGATTCAGTTTGTCTTAGTTGTGCCTGTTTTGGTTTCAACAATTGAATAACATCTTTCACAATAAAGATTGTCCATAAAATGTTATAAAATAAGATAGAAGATGAATTTCCTGCAAGTTTAATAATAACATATATTAATGAAGGATATTGCAACAAGTTTTGTGATCAAATCAATGGTTCATAATTTTAATTTAATGATGAAGCATCAGACTATAATCTAAGATCCATAATCATGATTGATTGATTATTATTATTATTATT